AGATCTACAGGGAGTTCCTCTTGAGTCTTCAGCTATCTACTGGTCAGTAGATAGTTGTAAGGAAACTAAGTCTGGAGAAAGGACCACCAAAAAGGAGCAGGCAGAACAATTCCCAAAGTTTATACAAGGCTGGGAATAGTTCACTTTCCCAACAGCCATAATGGGAAAAGCTTATAATACATAGGAGGTTGGGTTGAATACTCAGAAGGGCATTGCCTCAGTAGTAAAGATAGATGATTCCTAGACTAAAGGATGTTCTGGTTCCAACTAGTAAAGCTTAAAAGATCAAAGATAACTTAACTGTATCTCAGAACATTGTTCAAATATATTTAAAGGAATAAAAAAAAATCCATCGCAAAGAAGGTAAAAATCAGAATACCCGACATCCAAATCAGAAATTACCAAACATGCAAAGAAGCAGGAACATTCAACTCATAAAGATGAGAAAAATCAATTAATAGAAACAGACCCAGAAATGTCACAGATAATAGAATTTGTAGACAGGGACATCAGAACAACTAGTTTAAATATACTACATATGTTCAAGAAGATAGAAGAAAGCAAGGAGAGACACAGAAACAAAAGACCAACATTAAACTTCTAGAAATGAAAATGTGATCTATGTCTGAAACCAAAAAATATACTCTTCAGGATTTAAGAGCAGATTAGATGTTTCAGAAGAAACGGTAAGTGAACTTGAAGACAGCAATAAGTGCTATCCAAACTGGAACACAGAGAATAAAAGGCTAAAAATTAACAAAAACCCCAACAAACATCAATGGGCTGCAGGACAGTTTTAAGTAGCCTAATAATTTGCATGTAATTAGAATCCCAGAAGAAGAAGTGAGAAGTAATGGGAGAGGGTATAGAGTGAAATGAGGTGTGTGTGTGTGCATGTATGCACGCGAGGGGGTTTGGGGGATGGAATAAAGAAATAATGGTAGAAATATTACCAAATTTGATATCTACAAATCTAAGAAATTAAAAAAATCCCAGCAGAAGAAACATGAAGAAAACTATACCAACCCACATCATAATCAGTTTGCCTAAAACCAGGGGAAACCTTAAAAGCATTGAGAGAAAAGAGATTAGGAAGCTTAAGGGATGAGAGAGTAACAGTGAGCTACAAGTGGCTGGGGAAACAATTTTCTCAGGAGAGAGGTTTCAGTGGGAGTAAGAAGGTGAAGAGAATATTTAGAGAAGAACTTGAGGATATAGGGATTCCACTGACCCACTGATTCTGAGTACCTCAGAAGGCAGGCACAGTGGAAAGGTTTCAGGAAGGAGTTGGGGAGGTGGCAGGTGAGGTTAGATTAGGGAGTATATGAAGCCATACTGGGATATGGTTTGGATCCCATCATGGGATCTCTGTTGACTAATGCAAACAGGAATAACAGGCACAATGTAATTAGTCCTGGTGGGCTCTAAGACAGATTGTGCTGGCCTGGCTGTGACTGTTGGGGACAGGGAGGCTAGAGGTCTTGCGAGGAGCAAAACAAGGCTTGCCTTCACTCCAGCTGATAGAAGCTGGAGGCTGGAAAGAGTAGTCTTTCCAGATAAACGTTGAGGCCATAACTGCTTTCTTTCCCAGGCACCTGATGTAGAGACTCCATTCCTGTACTAAATAGATGCCCAGCAAAAAAGGAGTTATCTCCTCTACTGGAAGGAAGCTTCCTGCCGTGTCTGGATTCCACATTGGAATGGAACTTATTTTTATTTTCAGTCATGTTTTCCAAAATCGTTCTCATACCTTTCATCAAATGGTTTTTGCACTCATGTCCTAGTACTACTGTAATCACTTGGGATCTAGTTATTTAAAGGTGTTAGATGTCTCTTCAGCCTATTTTCCTGGGGTCCTCTTGATATCTTTTTGATTACATGCAGTTATAGAATCCTGCCTTGTCAAGATTTGAATGAGGTAAAGAAAGCATCTTTTCAAAATTGAGCATCAGCTGGGGTGGATTAAGTAATACTTAGCAACAATTAAAAATAAGCAAGAAAGCCACAAGCTGTACTTGCGAGGTTGCTTTCATAATTAGGTTTTAACAACTCTTTATTCTTAAATGTTTGTATTAGCTGTTATATTATCATTGGTTTGATAAAAAGCATCCTTGAGTAGAAACGTGTGCTAGCCTTGAACAGTAGTAATAGGGAACCTGGTTATTTGGGCCATATTGCCATAACCAATGCTCTACTGCTCACTTACAAATCAAATAGTTAAGGGAAAAATAAATATCATGTAGAATGTAAGCCTTATAGTCCCAAATCTGAAAAATCTTATTCAGTATCTCATAGGGCACCCATTTTGAAAGTTTAGGATATGTATGATCATAAATGTACTTTCTATTAATTACATTCTATTTCCTGTGGCTCTAATGTAATGTTTTTTAAAGGGAGAGGGAGGGAGGGAGAGAGAGAGAGAGAGAGAAAGAGAGAGAGAGAGAGAGAGAGAGAGAGAGACACATTGATCAGCTGACTCCTGCACATCCCCTACTGGGGACTGGGGCCACAAACCTGGCATGTGCCCTAACTAGGAATCCAACCAGCGTCCTTTTGGTGCATAGGACGACACTTAACCAACTGAGCCACACCAACCAAGATGATAATGTGGTTTTAAAATATGTGTTCTGTTAGTAGAAGCAGTAAATGAGCAATGTGTATGCATTGCTTGTTACTGAGAAGCACAATTTTCTGTGCTATTCCTTCTGCCAAATTGCATTAATCATGTTCAGCTCATATAAGAATATTATAACGTTCATATCACAAATTGTCCTCAATGTAGTGTCTTCGTGTGCCTGATCTGGATATCAAGTTTATTTTCTTCACTATGTTTAATCTGAGTAATTATAGTTTTGTTGATTTTCAGTTTTCTTCAAGCAGAGAAGCCCTTTGGAAACCAAACATTTAACCATCTCCCCTTTGCCAAAAAATGAGAAAGATCTGAAAAGAGAGAAAAATTTGCATTAAACAATTTGTCTACTCATTGTGAAATGGTTTCAAAGAGGTGTTGAGTTTGGGAGAAATTGGAAGAACTTTTGCCACCTCTGCCACATGCTCACTATGAGCCACTGTGTGATGTGGCTGCTGCAAACAAGAAGGCGGCATTCGTTTAGAAGCAACAGCAGCTTTCCAATAGTAAGATGATATAGTCCCACTTTATTACTTAGATTATTGTGTCTATTTTTTGGTACCTTCTGTTTATATTCTCTCCTTCCTATTATCCATGTGACCAACCAGAGGCAAACATTTTAAAAATAATTGATCATATTGGGATACAAAAGGGAAAGCTATCTGACCTAAATTGTCTTCTAAAGTCCTAAGCTATGTTTTCTTTTTAAAACAACATCTTTCTGTAAGTTGGAAAGCCATTTGATAAATCAAGAAAAATAAAAAGAAAGACCATTATTGTGTTACTACTAATCAAAGGATTCTAAAGATCACCCCCATGACCCTATAACAAGCATTAGCTTATCCTGATTATACTATAAAATACGTAATTAGCCATTTTCTCCATTTTTGGAGAAAATTTAAAGCAATAATGTATCACATTAAAAAATATTTTAGCGCCCTGGCCAATTTGGCTCAGTGGATAGAGTGTTGGCCTGTGGACCGAAGGGTCCCGGTTTGATTCCGGTCATGGGCACATGCCCAGGTTGCAGGCTCAGTCCCCAGTTGGGGGCATGCAGGAGGCAGCCTATTAATGATTCTCTCTCATCATTGATGTTTCTATCTCTCTCTCCCTCTCCCTTCCTCTCTGAAATCAATAAATAAAAAAATTTTTTAAGTTAAAACTACCACTCTTTAAAAATATATATATTTTAGTGAAAGTTTAGAGTTTTTGCAGTTTGCATTTGAAAATTAGAAATTTTATATTGGAGATATAAAACTAAAATACCTAGTCCTTTAAAAATTTTTTTCTATATTTTTAGTGTTCCATATGAACAAAACATTATAGCCATTTATTTTGAAAAAACCAGAGCTAATGGAACTTCTTTTATCCTTGATGTGATCATTAAATTTTCTATTAAAGTTATAAAAATTTCATTTTCAGCATGTAGAGGTCCTTTTTGCATGTTGGGTATTATGGGGGAAAGCTATAATATTAGGTTATAACATTATTATGATTGAGTATAAAAATCTTTGTTCTTAACACTGGACTTAGAAAATAGAAAATAATCGGGATGTTTTTGTTTCCTTTTAGGTCTTCGGATAACTGTGCTTCTGACATCCTTCCTCATGGTTTTGGGAACTGGTCTAAGATGCATACCTATATCAGACTTAGTGCTTAAACGAAGGTAACTCCTATAAATAACTTAAAAAATTTTCCCTAATTTTTCTTTTGTTATGAGTATGTTATGCATGTTTGCTTATAAACTTTTAGTGAACCGTTCTATTTTTAAGATGATAAATAGAGGGTCATATTTATAGTAGCATTTATTTCCCCCTATATAATGATTAATTCAGTATACATTTATTAGTTGTTATGTGGAAGACATTATACTAGTTATGTTAAGAGAACAAGTTCATCTTCATGCTATCCAGGTGCTGTAATAACCACAGGAAAATAATAGTGTAACATAAGGAAGAATGATGTAGTTAATGTCATAGGAGAGGTTAAAATTGCTCTGAGAGACTGAGAAGTTTTGTCTGAGGGTATGAAGAAGAAGAGTTTATGAAGGAGCTGATAATTAAACTAGGTATTGAAGGATGAGTAGAATTCTGATAACTATTGTCAGGGGAAGGATATTCTGGGATAGCGGAACATTAGGAACAAAGGCATGGAGGCAGGTAAGTGTAGGCCTCTTCTGGGCTGGGTAGGTAGTTTCATTTCTGTCACTGGGGTCCATGGGTTTATTCTCAGAGGGTGTAAAGTATACGAAGATTTAAAATGTTTGTTTTCCTTTTGGTTATAATACTGTATTAAGAATTATTTTATCAGTAACAATCCATATTTTAAAAAGATTTTTATTGATCTGAACTTCAATTTCTTAAATTAGTGTTTCTTAAGTGGGGGCCTTAGATGTGACCTTGTAAGCCATTAAGAATTTTTTTCCCTTTAGAAAGGACCCATAAAGTACTCGATTTGGGGAGACACTGGTCTATAGAATAAGGTATAAGAATGGAATGTAAAGAGATGAGTTCAGAAAAGAGTATCCAGATTATGCAGGATCTTGATGCCACCCTATAGAGCTGTATTTTCCTCAAAGGACAGTTGCAAGCCACTTAGGTTCTTAACCAGAGCAGCAATAGAGTCAGACCCATGTGAGGTCAACTACTGATTTGAGGTGTGTAGGATTAATTACAGAGCCTGCCGGCAGGAGACCAGGAAAGATGCAGCGAGAGCCCAAGCTGGAGTCATTCTTTTGTTTGCTTATTTATTTATTAGTTCATTTATTGAACAAAGTTAACTGAGCTCCTATCATGTGTTCTGGGCGTGGGGGATACAGCATGGAACACAGTAGACAAATCCCTGCCTCATGGAGTTTACATTCCAGTTGGGGAGGCGGGCAATAAACTAGGTAAGTAAGTAAAATATGTAGTATGTGCTATGGAGAAAAAAGTAAAATAAGAAAGAAAGATTTGAAATGTCAGGGGAAGGATGGTAACATTTCATAAATAATGAAAAAAACCTCATTGGGAAGTTCACTTTTTTGGATAAAAACCTAGGACGGAATGATGCATTATCTAGGGGACAAGAATTCTGAGCAGAGAGAATAACAAGGGGAATGGGTGGGAAGGGAACGACATGGCTTGGCAGGGAGATATGGCTGGAATCGAGTGAGAGACTTCATGGGAAGAATAATAGGAAATGAGACCAGCGCAGTTATGCATGGTGGTGGGAGTGTGAGCTAGGAAACCACTGGAAGTTTTGAGCCAACGAGAACCAGAGTCATATTCTGCTTTACTTAGAATAGACTGAAGCTGGAGGTCAAGGCAGGAGTAAGGAGACCTATTAGGAAACCAGTGCTATAAACTAGGTAAGAGACAATGGTAGCTTGGGCCATAGTGGTAGCAATGGTGGTGGTGAGAAGTGGTCAAATTCTTTTTTTTTTTTTTTTTAGTATTTTT